GTCCATGAGGTTTTTTTGCGTTAACTCGTGTGGCACCCATACATCGAGCTTCTTTTTGTATCCAGCCTTATTCAAGTGGTTCCAAGCGGTTTTTTGTGCAATGTTTAGCTCCTGGGCAATTGAAACAGTGCTTACATGACGATTTCCATTATTTTATCGACATTTTCGACAATTGGCCTTCCAGAGCGTGGTGCATCTTTGACATCAAAATTACCGGAACGGAATCGACGAAACCAAAATTGCGCGTGATTGGCTATTACAGTATCAGGACCATAAACACTATTCACATTTTCAGCCACCTGGCTTGCGTTTTCACCTTTATCGAAGAAAAACTGTAAAATATGGCGTATTTTCTCTTTGCTGGTGTCCATCTTTGACGCGCGCTCAAACAATACTGAGTCAAACAATCACAAAATTGTCTGAGAAGTTTTTTTAGTACGAAATCTTATCTTTCTAACGCTATCTAGCGTAAACCGATCGCACTTATACAACGCGAGATATGTGGCGCCCCAGCTAACGCTGGATGCACACGCACATGCATACACACCTGTGCAGCAGCTGCCGCACGCTGATAGGCGAAAGCAGAAACTACTGCCGCGCCAAGATTTTGCGATCGCACCGTAAGTGCTATAGACGGTTCTCTCTACCAGTCAGTCGTAGCAGGTCGTAAGAAGGTAAAAGCCGTTTTCTCTCACACTTGAGATTTGTATACACGTTTTCCTTTGTCTGGACTAGCCGTCCTACGTGTCGCGGTGTCCTTCGTGAGGTGCGTGCCGGTTCGTTATTGCGACACATGTGTGTCCTCTCTCGTGCCGGAATTGAGCGAGATAAATCGTGCAAGTAATCACGAAGACGCAGTGGCGTAAGCCTTTGTAAAGCGTTGTGCCAAAGAGAAACTCGTGAAATGTAACCGCGCGGAAATATTGCTGTGTTGTACCATTAAGCACGCCAGTGTAGTAGTGCGCCACGTGCAATTGCTTGTGACGTCGGTCACACGCGCGCATTAGCAAGTAAGGTATTTTTTGTGTCTCGCTACGCGTATTTCCATGCTCGCTCAAAAAGGTATGATTGTGCCGTGCATACGCGGGCAGTAACACGGGTTGTCTACGTGCCGCGGACAGACCCACGTGCGCACACGGTACGTCGGCGCGGTGTCGATCACGTGCTCCTGCGTGATCACCTGTGTGCACAGTCTTAACATTGTGCCTAATCTATACACGTGTCGGTACGCAGGTACGCATGTATTCGACCTTGCTTGTGTAGAGAAATCCTTTCTTTCCTTTGATTTGTTTTGTACTGCGACCTCCACACAAGCCGTGATAACGTTCCTTTCTTTTTTCTATATACCAACATACCGTGTATTAGAATTAAGTACCAGCGTTAGAGTTAAGCTTGAGATATTGTAAAGAATACTGTTCCTTTGTTCCTTGCTGCGTAGGTTAAGTGCGTGCGAGCCAATTTTCTCTTGTTCATTTATTTCATGTTGCGTGGTGATCGGATCCCACCAAAGAAACATGTGTGTTCACGTTTAAATATACATTTCTTTTGTTAATTGGTGCATTGAGCATTAGTTCTTGTATGTGACATGTGTGCCTGTCCAGAGTTGCA